ATCCTCCAGCAGCAGGAGCACGAACGCCTGCAGACAGCAGTGATGCTGGCCTGTGTGCCCCAGCCCACTGTGATGCCAGAGGGACCCTCCTTGGCCAACCCGCCATCAGGTCTCTGTCTGTCAGATTTGGTGTGAGAGGAAATTGATTTGCACCTCCACACTAACAGAATTGTAATTTGATTGCGATTACGCGTTTATGTGTTTCACTGGACTTCAAACCTACCATTAACAGTTTCATAGTCAAGCCTAATACTCTGCATAGTTATCTGATTGCCTAGATCACTGAGAATTTTGCTGTCCTACCCATTTCCTCCTAGTGTGATCATTAATCAACAAACATGTTAATCAGTTTGCATCAGCTACCTCTCGAGTCTCCAGCCTGAAGGGGAAGTGTCAGACCTTGGCAGTAACAATGCTAAAAGCAGACTGAACCCAAAACGTTCCTCAGCCTGCCAGTGCCCAATTCTCTGCCAAAAACTGGTATGAAGTTAGTTAGGAAGGACCTATTTTCCAGGTCCTTTGTACTTTGTGTGGTTTGTCTGTGCAGCTGCCCTTGGCTACTAAAAAAAAAACCCAAATGCCAGAAGGTCCTTCCTCCAGAATCTAGGTTATCAGAAATTATTTCCAAATAGTGCTGTCACAGAGACAGGGCAGGGAACGCCAGCAGGAGACAGAGTGATGCAGGATTAATCTCCAGTGAAGAGGCAGCCTGAGACAGACAGAAATCTCATCAAGGACAAACTGCTTTGCATCCCTATGGATGAATGCTGAAGGCTGAAACTGCAGTTTCATCGGTCAGCTACACTACTGAACATTTTGGCAGAAATATTGAATTACTGCATGTATAGGCTGCAGTACTAAATTTCAGTATTCCCTGACCTGTAATTTCTTATGTTGCTGCTTCTACTGAAAACCAAAAGTCTGGCAACTGTTAGTCATATTTAACTGAAGCTGGAAAAGACACTCTGTTGTACTATAATGAGACAATTTTCTAAATGGAAGAGAAGCTGGCATTGAACTTAAAGTTTCACAAATTAGCTTTTGGCTGTTGTACATTTTCAAACATTTTGGCTTATTGTTAGATACAGGTTAGGGATGAAGCTTCAGATGTTTGCCTTTGAGCTATCACTGCTTCACAGCATCGAGCTTTTACTTTGACACTCAGCCAAAAACATCTTAAGTGATTTTACCTAATTACCCTTGCTTATATGTCTATATTCCTCTCTCTTAAAAGTCTTTGCTTCCTTGCTACAGATAGATGTTTCTACAAAAAGTCTTGATTAGCCCTCATGTTTCAAGTTAAGGATATGCTGCCATTAATTTTAACACGTGTCCTAGACCCTGTAGATATCATAGTCCTGATACCTAAACTTTTCTCTCTATATTATATATATATTATATATAATCCAAATATTAGCGCACCCACAGTTTCACTGGTGAATCCAGGGCCACCTTTAAGCTTTTGCACACCTGTGCTCTCACAATGGAGTTTATTCAGCCCCTGCTTTATCTGTGCCATTGGAGATACTCAGAACTGACCAGAACATGCCATGGGCAATGTCGATACAAGTTGGCCAGGTCCGAGCAGGGGATTGGACCCACTACCTTCCAGAGGTCACTGCCCACCTCAGCTGTTCTCTGGTTCTAAGCAACAGTGACTGCAGCCTGCTTGCCAGACCATAGCACCGCAGGACAGTTCGGGCCGGCAGGATCCTTAGTAGGTCTCCAGAGCAGGCTCAGCCATGGGGTCAGACCAAGTTGCTCAAGGGGTGTCCTGGTTTCGGCAGGGATAGAGTTAATTTCTTTTCTAGTAGCTGGTACAGTGTTTTGGATTTAGGATGAGAACAAAGCTGATAACGCACCCATGTTTTAGTTGTTGCTAGGTAATGCTTACACTAGCCAAGGACTTTTCAGCTTCCCATGTTCTACCGACTGAGAAGGCTGGAGGTGCACAAGAAGCTGGGAGGGGG